ACACACACACACACACACACACACATACATATATATATATAGTGGAGACATACAATGCCTATCTTTCATAGTCTTGCTTGCTTTGCTTAGCATTAAATCTTCCATATTTATCTACTTTGTATCAAATGTAAGAGTCACATTGTTTTTTATGGCTGAGTAGTGCTCCATAGAGTACATGTACCACATTTTTTTAATCCACTCATCTGTTCTTGGACATTTGGGTTGATTCCACGTCTTAGCAATTGTGAATGATGCTGCAATAAACATGGGTGTTCAAGAGTTTTTCTGACTTTTTTCCTATCCTTTGGGTAGATACCCAGGAATGGAATTGCTGGATTGTGTGGTAGATCTAGTTGCAGGTTGTGGGGGAAACCTCCATATTGTACTAACAGTGGTTAGTGGTTGCACTAATTTACATACTGACCAACAATGTAAAAGAGTTCTTTTTGCACCACAGCCTCACCCACACTTATGATTCTTCTGATTATTTTTTTTTAATTTAGCCATTCTGACTGGGTTTAGGTAGTATCTCATTGTGGTTTTGATTTGCATCTCCCTTATGATAAGGGATGTTGAACTTTTTTTCACATGCTTTTTGGCTGTTCATATGTTTTCCTTGGAGAGTAAGACCCCCAAAGCACAGGCAATAATCCCAAAACTAGACAAATAGGATTACATCAGGTTAAAAAGTTTCTGCACAACAAAAGAAACAATGATTAGAGTGAAGAGACAACTCTCAGAATGGGAGAATATATTCACAAACTACATCTCAGATAAGGCACAGAGTTCATTTTAACCAGTTATCTTAGCTAGATCTGAGATCAGTGGCTACAGATATCCAGAGCAAATCTCACCACTAACTGCTTAGTCTTTTTCATAACCTCTCTATCATGGATTTCAAAATTTTAATGAAAGATCGAGTTACCTAATTCTCTAGCTATTTATAAGAGAGCCACATAGCCCATCCAAATTGATATTTTGATTTTAATATCCTTGACTTGTAAGACATCTACATAGATTTTCTAGCTCACTCCAAAGACATTTGATGTTGATAGGATAATGCTAGGTGTGATTATATTTTCTAAATACATATAAAGATCTGGAATTTGATAGGATTCTAAGATAAATAAATGTCTTTCCCTGTTGATGGAATCTGGCTTTAATTTATCTTCATATTCATATTAAATTACTTAAATCAGTTCTTCAACCAATTGCATTGAACTCTCATTGGATGTTTCCTACTCAGGGTTGAACCATGTCTCTCACTGCTTCTGACTTTCTTCTTTTGTAACCAAGATTGTATAACTCAGATCAAAGATCTGTATTGACTTTTTCTTCTATCCCAGGTTCATAAGGTTTAGGATTATGTAGTTCTAAGCCTCTTAAAGGAGAAAACTGTCACACAGTCACTTTCATGTGAGCAGCAAAACTTCGTGAGCAACCCACACATCTCCTTAACTAGAACTTTAAGCACTTCCCGTCTGACTGGGACAAGAGCATAATTGAAAAAATAATTGCTCCTCTCAGGCAGTACATTAGCTGAATTAAAAACAAATCCTAACCAGGCCCATAGTGCAGTGGTCAAGTACTGTGGACAGAATGCAGATCCCACAGATTTGAATCCCACCTCAGCAGTTTGGAAAACATACTGGGCATGTGTGCATGCATACCCAAAATCCTGATGGGATGGAGAAGGGATCATGGCATAACCATGCCCCTTTGGGGGGGGTTCTCCCCATCTCTCTCTATCTCTCTGGTAAGTGCACGTATGTTCTGACAATTAAAAAATAAATTATAGTGTGACCACCAGTTAGTGTAATGGCTATGTCACTGGACTCCCATGTAGTTGACTGCAGTTCAAGTCCCAGACCTGGTGGCTTAAGCTCACACCGGGTGCATGTGCTTGTGTGCCCAAGATCTCGAGAGGAGAATGGAGGACAAGGGCTCGCGGCGTGGCCATTCCCCCTTGGGGAATCACCCCTTGGGGGTGATTTCTCACTTTCTATCTCTCTGTCTCTCTCTGTCTTTCTGGTGACCTCATGCACCCTATAGCAAAAACCTCTCCTTAAATAAATAAATAAATAAATTATAGCATGCTATAAGTATAAACGGTTGTAGGATTGTCTAGAACAAATTATCTAAGAACATATTATCAATAGTATTTCTCCTAAAAATATAATTCTTCTTTTCTCTTTCTCTTCATTTAACCTTGAAATCAAACTTACATATATGCATGCTATCAACAATGAAACACAAATCTCTATATTTTAAATTTTTTTTTCTTTTCTCAGTTTCTGCAGATAAAGTGATCTGAAGTAATGTATGATACCACACAGCAGAAAAGAGAAACTGTGACAACCCCCAGAAATGTGAAAGGAGGTTTCTTACTGGATAGCAGCATCTTTGGTTCAATTTATATAAAAACCCAAATAAATAAAATGGACAGTATTGCTCAATTTTAGAAATTCCATGTCTTCTATGTTCTAAGCTGTACAATTGTCAGGTTTTTATGGTTTAAATTGTAAATGTGTTTTACCCTTCGCTAATTACTTTTTTTTTTAAGTCTTAAAATGTGAAGGACATTTATGAATGGTAAGGGAGACACTGTATACAAATGTATATTTGTAAAAGCTATTTTTATGATTAGCATGTTTCACTGTTGATCATATATAAAGTCAATGATATTGCAATTCTATGGTTAAAGCTTATTTCCAACAATGTCATATGAGAAAAGATACACCTTAAGCTAGTTTTTAATCATTTATTCTTAATTTATAGTTTGAGGTGATTCATATCATAAGGATAAAATATTTGAAAGCGTTATAGTTCTGCCCTCTATAAGCGCCATTTTTATTAATAAAGAATGCAAGTATTTGAGATGTGATACATTACAGGACTGTTGGTTTGACCTGTGACTAAATTGAGCATGCTCCGAGGCTCTACTGAACTGAAATGATTCAGTTACCTAATACTTCCTGTCTGGTTATGATAGTCCATGGACAAGAGTTGGTACTCATACAAGGGAAAATTAGATTGGCAAGGGAAAGACTGTCTTGTCTTTGGATCCCAAAATTTAAATGAGTGTGTACATCACTTCATTTCATCTCCGATCCCTAGAAATGCTCCATTCCCAAGCATTGCAAGTGTGTTCCAGATGCTCTTAGCTGTTGTCTTGTGCTGTGGAAATGGAAGAAACCATCTTCACGGACTGTAGGAGAATTCAGCATATAATTTCTTAATAAATACTGTTTCTTTTAAAACAAAGTTAGTGTGTTTTATTTTTTTTTCCTTTGGGGCACCTTAGTTTTAATATTCAGTTTGAACTTTTATTCAATCACTGTAACACCACAAAATCAGTAAATAATGAAAGTAGCATAACTTTACTAAAGTGGGTGGCACATGTTCTATGCCCATACTCCTTGTGAAGTGACCTCTTTTCTGGAACATTCTACTTTGCCATGTGAAACAAAGCCAGATGGTCCTCAGTACTTGATAGAAGTTACACTCTGGTTTACATTTCTAGAAGGTATATTTTTCCAACTCAACATAGAAAACAAAATCATGTCATTAGGAGGCACTTATTGCTCTGCCAGACTGAAAGTCTGTAGCTAAATGAGTGCGAGGACCTCAGTAAAAAGCAAAGACAACATGAAATGTCACCAAAAACTCTTAATAGCATTAGGCCTCCTGTTTTCAAAGAAACTGAGGAAAGCCTAAAATCACTTTGTTATGCTTTTCGTTAACTTTCTACTTAATTTCAATACTGTATGGTAACTTATCCTTTTTCTCTGTCTTTCTAATGTGAAGCAAATGAAAAATAATATAATACAATAAAGGATTTGAAAAACAGAATTCTGGAAAAAAAAAGATTTTCAATTTTTTAAAATAAAAAAGTATACATTTTCTTATGCAATGGCTTTAGAAATTGCACAGTAGAACTTAGAATCTGAATCAAGAATATACTTCGATTCTCAGGGAATGCAAAAACCAGTGTCATCACTGTTAGTATTTTCCATGGCCATAATAGGTTTAGAATTTGTTTCTGTCTTGATTGGATTATGACCCTGCTGTGTATGGGTCTATTTGAGAGTGAAATGAGCAGTGATTTGTGATTTGCTCACAAGGAGATAATTTACTGGCAATAGCTAAAAGTGCTGCACCAGAGAGGAAGTGGCGCAGGCATTATGAATTAAGAAATTACATACGTGAATATTGTTCCCAGTTTGTCATTTGCCTGTGTTCATACTGCTCAATATAAAGTGTGTCATTTATAACCTAAAATATCACAGATTATTGGAAGTATCACAATTTTCCTAATCATTATTGACTGGTTTCAAATACGAGGAATAATTAAAATGTACAAAAATACTTCTTTCTTATTGGACTTAATTTTTCCCACATGGGCCTTGAAGTATGAAACCATGGGTCTTTTCCTTTATTCGTTACCATTTCCAGTTTAGGAATTTCTTTTGATGATGAAGCTGGAACAAATTATTTACCAAAGCAACAAAGCATAGATGATTCAGGAATATAATCCTTAAAGATTTAGTTTCACAATTAAAAAATTTCAAGGGCTGAAGAAAATAATGTGAGTTGTTTCCAAAACCAAATAATGTCGATCTTATTTAAAAAACAAACTGGGATCAGCAGTTAGCGTAATGGTTATGTCGCTGGACTCCCATGTAGTCTGCGGTTCGCGGCCCGGACCTGGTGGCTTAAAACTCACACCGGGCATGTGTGTTTGAGTGCCCAAGATCCCAAGAGGAGAACGGAGGAGAAGGGATTGCGGCATGGCCATCCCCCCTAGGGGGGGATTTCTCACTTTCTGTCTCTCTGTCTGGCGAGAGCACCATGCACCCTATAGCAAAAACCTCTCCAAAAATAAACAAACAAAAAAACCCAAATAAACAAACAAACAACAACAACAACAACAAAAAACTGGTCAGCAGAAAAAAGAGGGACATTACTTGCTGAATTCAGTTCAAGAGAAGTACAGAAAACTAGTCACACTGCTTGAAGTTAGGTAGACATCCCTGGTGGCAGTGTGCAGAGAGACAGTATCAATTTTGCTTCTATCTTTGTCAGCCAAAGAATAGTTAAAGCAGAAATGCACAATGAAATGAATAAGACAGAAAGGAAGCAGAAGCAAAACCACAAAGAGTTAAAGTTCAGAGAACAGGAGTAATAAATGCAAGTCACCATAAAGGCCTGAAAAATATTTATCAGCCCTCCATATACTGATTATTTAAATGGAAATAAGAGAAACAAGCCTGAAGTGAGCTTGTAGAAATTGAATGTGACCGTGCTGATGAGAGGATGGCCATCTCCCCATTCCACTTGGAGAACTGACTCAGAAATGCAGACCTGGACTGGGTATGTTTCCTGATTTTCCTAGAAATGATAGACATCCAGAGTTTTAAAGCAGGGATTCTATTCTTTCATTTCTTTTGTTTTATCCTAATATGACTCTGACAATAAATCAAGGTATATCCGTGATATATATTAGTATTTTATAGTTATGAAACTTGAAAAAATAAGCTCATAAAAATGAGAAACAACAAAGTCAAGATTAATGCTGGTTAAAAAGCGAACAGAGACTGACTAGTATCTGGAAAAGAAAACAGAGGTTTCAATTGGATCTTTAGTATTCAATTTTTCGGTTAAAAATGTATGAATCAAACATGGCAAAATGCTAAGATGTGACAAAGCTTCCACTGATGTTCATTATATTTTCCCTGTTATTGTGTAGACTTAAAGTACCTTGTAATAATAAGTAAAAATAAAAGTATGAGATTTGTATCTCCCTTAAAATACTTCATAAAAATAAATATAAATGAAAGTATGAAATTTATATCTCAATACTTAATAAATAAAAATAAGAATGTGAGATATGTACATTGACACACACTTAGATATAGCTATTGATGATATCAAGGTGTGGGTGGTATAAACAGTAAACATAAAGGTAGCCATTTGTATTTTTGGCTCCATCAGCCATCTGTGAGTTTGTGATCTCCCTTTTCTAGAGATGTTCAGGACCCTATGACAGAATTCGACCTAAGAGAAGAGATATGCATTACCTTAATATTCACAGTTATTTTTGCAGAGAAGAAATTTGCAAGTGAATTTATCTTTTGTTGTTGAATTTCTATCAGCCCTTGAAATACTTGGAAACACCCCCCCCAGGAATTTAAATGGGGTTCATCCAAGAATTTGGAGTGCCTAACCATGAAAAATAGGCCACATGTTTATCTGCTGCATCTGTAAAGATGAAAGAAATGTTTTCTACATTCTATACTCTCTACAAATGGTGCTTTGTCCATACCGATAGTTTCTATATGTTTTAGGAATAAATGAAATAGGATAGGTTTTGGGCTTTTACTTTATGAAAAAGATGAAGTCTGCTATTTACTAAGCAACTAGTATGTGATGGGCACAATGGTAATGACTGTAGGTGTATTATTACTAATGCTCGCAGGAAAACCAAGGCCAGGTACTATTGTTATCCCGAGTGAAAAAGAAATACAACAGTTATTCATCCGTGAATGTTTTATTGAGTACCAACTCTGTGCCAGGCACTCTGCCCAGACGTAGGGCTTCAGCTGTGAATAAGGACGACTGAAATACCTGCCACTGAAGGTTTCACTCCCCAGGGAGACAACACACAGCAGGCCAATAAACAAGCAAATGTATAGTGGTCCTTGACAAGCACAGAGGAGAAGAGAGGGAAAGAAAGAAAGCTGGCAGCTTTCAAGTGGGAGTGTTCAGTAGACAGGTCAGGGAAGTTTCCCTGGAAGGATGGAATTGGGCAAAGATGAGAAATCCGTGAGGATATGGAAAAAGTGTCCTGATCTGAGGGAACAGCAAGTAAGCGCCTTGAAGTAGGAATGTACTTGATATGTTCAGGAACAAGAAAGGCAGTATATGGAGCCAGTGGATGGCATGGAGGTTAAGATAGCTGAATCTCAAATGGCCAACGACACAAGTTTGAGTCCCAGACATGGAAGCTTAAAACCTAGCTGGGCATGAGTATGTCCATGTCCAAAATACTGAAAGGCATGAGAAATGGAGGGGAAGCGATTTCGGCAAGGCCATCCTGGCTGGAGGGGAGTTCTTTCTCACTTTCCCGTTCTGTGTGTTGACTGCATGCACCCTAGAGCAACAAAAAGAAAGAAAGGCAGTATACATGTCAATTTGAATACATGAAGAAAAGTGAAGTAAGAAATGAAATCAAAGAAAATCCAGGATTCCAGATCACAGAGCCTTAGGTGTGATTCAGGGCTTATTGGCTTTTATTTTCCATTGGTTGGGAAAACAGAAAGGTTTTCATCAGAAGAATGATGTGAACTTAATGAAGGGTTAAAAGAATCATTCGGCCGCTAATTTGAGAATAAACTATAGGAACTAAAAGAATCCAAAAATCCCTGGAATCTAGGTTGAGAAGCCACTTTGTGAGCCTGACCTGTGACAAAACTCTCTTGTTCGGAGCAGAGA